TTTTAAATTCAAAGTTCAATTCTTCTAAAGCCATAGCTATGTCACATTGCATGTAGAAAGATTCACTTTCGGCCTCGGATATTACCTCATGTTCATTTGCCATGAAACAAACATTTGGGTCATGAAGAGAAAGTTTGGCTCCTTCTTCATCACTATCCGAATTGCTTGGTTCGGATTCTTCCCATCCGACATACATAACCTTCTTCTTCTTGTACTTCATGTACTTTTCTTTGAGCTTGGGGCAATCCTTAGCGATGTGACCTGGTTCATTGCACTCAAAACATTTACCTACACATGAGGAAAATTTGTTATTAGATCGAGGATTAAATTTCTTGTTCATTCTTATGAGTCTAGAGATTCTTCTAAAGAGATGAGCCACTTCTCTAGAAAAATCGACTTCACTATCCGATGACGAAGACGAGTTGTCACTAGCTCCTTTGAGAGCTATGGTCTTCAACTTTGGTGACGGCTCCTCAACTTCACGTGATGGCACTTCCTCCTTCTCCTTCCCCTTGAGCTTCTTCTCATGCACTTTGAGCTTTCCGATGAGGCTATTGAGAGCTAAGGTAGTGAGGTCATGAGCTTCCTCAATGACCGTAGCTTTGGGCTCCCATGTCGGAGTCAAGGAGCGAAGTATCTTGTAGTTCATCTCTTGAATGGACAATTGCTTATCAAGACCATGTAATTCATTAAAGATTTTAGTAAAACGGGAAAACATAGCATCAATGGATTCATTAGGAAGTATTTTTAAATAGCTCATAATCATGCATAAGCCCACTAATCTTAGATTCCTTAACTTGGGGGGTTCCTTCATGTGTGATACATAATTTTTCCTAAATTTCGTATGCGGTTGCACACGTAGAAACTTTATTGTACTCATTTGGGGAAAGACCACAAATTAAGGCGTTCATGGCCTTAGCGTTGAGATTAGCTTGGTGCCATTCTCCATCGGTCATATTCCCGACTTTGGACTTCTCTACATATTTCTTTTCTACGAGCTTTAGGATGTCAAGATCAATACAGCGAAGGTAAATTCTCATCCTAGCCTTCCAATAAGCAAAATTGTTCCCGGTGAAGAGTGGTGGTCTAGTGGTGGATTGTCCTTCTAACATATGCATATTCAAAGAGGCCTCTATTAGATCTTTTCTCTAAGACGGTTTAACCAAAAATTAATATAGAGACCAAGCTCTGATACTAATTGTTGGACCCTAGAGGGGGGGTGATTAGGGTTAAGAGGCTCTAATATGCAATAAAAAACAAACACAAGCAAACCACAATATTCTAGTGCAATCAAAGTAAATGAGATAAGGTTAGGAATCGTTATCCTTTGACGCGCGATGTGTTAACGAGGTTCGGTCCGCTGACCTACGTCCACGCTCCCAACTCTCGAGGAGAAATCCACTACACACCCGGTTTGGAAGCCGGAACTTCGTCTACACAGTGATCCCTTCACGATCTCACACTACACAGTTGATCTCAACAGATCACACTCCCTCACAGTTGATCTACACAAGATCACACTCACACAGCAGTAGAAATGGTGCAAGACTCTCTATTTACAGGTCCCTATGGCAAAGAGAAAGAATACTGAAGCTGGGAAGTGAACACACAAAAAAAAACACAGAAAACCACAGAGAACAGAGTTTGAAATTTTTTCTCAGAAGACAACGTCTCTCTTATTTTTTAGCAGAAGTTAGGGCAACTGGGAAGAAGAAGAAGTCTGGGTTTAAATAGGAGAGATTAATCATTTTAAAATCACAATCCAATCTTCCCACTTAAGAAAATAATCTCCTACACAGACTGTGCCTCCGACTGTGCCAAACACAGTTAAGTGATAGCACAGTAAACAAGGCAAACGACCGTTTGAAAAAGTCTCAGTTGACCGAATAAACTTTCGGTCGACCGCCAGAACATTTGGTTGACCGAAATGATGAATTCGGTCGACCGACGGAAAATCCGGTCGACCGCGAGCAGCTTTGAAAACACATAAAACAAACAGAGACTTCATCGGTCGACCGGTGCGGTCGACCGATAGAAAAATCAAGATTTTGGTCGACCGCACCGGTCGACCGACAAACTCTCTGGAGCCCAGTGAAGAATGATCTTAAGTGCGGTCGACCTCATTCAGATACACTCCAGAATAGTATTTTGACTCAAACAAAAATATTTAGAAAATATTTATTTGACCTCTGAAAATTATAAAACTTTGTAAAATGTTTTTAATACTAAAAACAAACTGTTTGAAAAAAGAATTTTACAGATAGGTCCTCATACTTGTAAAAAATAGTATTTTGTGAAAAAAACGCTTAAAAGCATAAGTATGAAAACGTGTGTGTGATTCCCAATAGCTTCAAGTGAAATCAATAACTCTTTGCCTACATTCTAATACTAGAGAGAGAATGAAAAATAGCTAATATCCTCACATAGAATACAATTCTTAAGTCTTGATATAGCTTGAGTTTGGATGAAGCTTTTATATGAATTTGTAATTCTTGAAATAACATTGCTTCATCACTATGCCTCCTCCTCCTTTGGATATCATCGTTGTAGCGTATATTCCATCCAATCCTCCATGCATGGCACTAATAAGCTTGATAACTGAATTTACTATATTTGCACTCAATAAGCCATTAGTACCGTTAATGGTGGTTGTAAAACATCATCAAAATATAAGGGCTAACACTATCAGTTTTGATTTTTTTTCAAGGAATTACATATATAGCTTGCGTAGCATAATACAAGGTAAAAATATGTGGCTATTACTTAAATAGTTGACTATGTACATAACTTGAGTATTTTATAGATTAATGTTACTGATGATTGTTATTATAATTTATGATACTATTCCTTGATGACACCAACCAGATGACAATGCATTGGTGGATTTCATAAAATTTGTTTGGTGAATGAGATAGTCCAATCGTAACTGGATCAAATTATAGTGGCCTCTTTGATGATGTATAGCTATTTTTTTAGAGTCAAGATGGGTAAAAGAATGCTTGAGGATTATTTTTGCAAAATCATGACAAGCTGAAATTTTATATGAAGTTGTTGGAATTGAATTTTGATCAAGGATTGTTTCTAGTTTATTAATGCACTAATAGCTTTCAATGGCATTGGTCCTTTGTTGAATGTATGATCTATTTTTATTGTTCTAACAAGAGCAAGATAGAATATCATGAGTTGGAGGATTGATTTGTGACATACATTGATGCCTCTAGTGCTTGTTTTAGGTGTAGTGTTATGCACAAAAAAAAAAAAAAAAAGAATTATCCAATATGTAAAGATTTTGGAATATTGTCTGAATAGGAAGAGATAAGACATCTATACATAGAAGTCTTAAATAGCTATTTCTCTTAAAGAGCTAAATATTCAAGGGAAATGGTAATTTAACGAAACATTATGGTATTATCTTTTATTATTTTACTTAGCAAATGAATTCAGTGATGGATTGGATAAAAAGTAAAATTATATCATATTTTGATTGGTCAATCGAAACAAATATTGGAGGTTGAGGTGACTCAGTATTTGGATTTATAGACCAAGAATAATGTTTACCCATCTTAAGATGGAGTATGTGTCAAGAGAGAAATTGCATAGCAAAAAGTAATGCTCCTTTATTGGTTAGATTTAAGTTTGAGGTAAAATAAACTTTTTGTTATGATATTTGAGTTCATAATGAGGTCATAAGATTCAAAAACAGATCATGCTTTCTCAATGGCCCAAACTTGAAGCAAAAATCTTAGAAGGCACTTTGTTTTGCATAGTAAAGACATCTTTGAAGTATGGAATCCTTTAGGGGCTTACAAGAAATTTTTTGATGGAATAATTAGAAACGAAAATTATAATTTCTTTTGTGTTAAAATATCTTTTATGACATCATAATATGAATATTGATGGTTGGGAGCCTTGTTGGATTACTCCAACTGTTGTCAAAATATGCATGAAAATAAAAGGAGATATCCACAGACTTTGACCACAAACCTGACAACATCGAGTGGTCATGATATTATCTGAGTATTGTTGATTAACTTACTAAGTTGACTTATTTCTTGCCTTGCAGCACTACTCGTTCACTTGAGAAGCATGACATATTACATGTTAAAGGACATCGTGGGATTTCATCTTAGTAGAGACTTTAAAGTTTGAGGTTAAATTCTAGATTTTGGAGAGGATTGTGGACGTATCAAGTAGAATTGCATCACCTCATGGCTTGCCACTAGTTTTCTATAATATATCTCATATGATAATCCATGAAGCTCTCATTACAAGAAAGATTTTATATAGTCAAAAGAAGTTATATGCGGCATTGGATCAAAAGTATTAAACATTGGTGATCAATAAATATTTATCTAATGAATTCTTTTTGTGTTAAAAAAATTCAAGTAGAAGAAACAATAGCTAGCACGAGAATGCGATGAAAGAGAAATGCCTTGATTTATTTGAGGACTTGAAGTGCATCTAAGTCTTGTGGAAAAAACTTCTTTTGAGGGGTATAATATGTAATCCCAAAACTCTTAGTTGCCAATAATTATTTTAGCACTTATTCAAATTATTGAGTTGACAATTATTAGCTATTATGCTCATGAAATTATTAGATGAGATTTGAGTATATGCTGATGATAACATTTGTACATAGTACCATCATAGTCTGATTAGGGAGTTTAAAGAAAATAATTACATGATCTATGGACAACTCAAGTATGTTCAAGTTTTGAGGATAAAACTTATGTTAAGAGGGATAGTATGTAATAATACTAAGTTTTATTTGGCTATATATATAAAGAAAAGTAAATGGACTTTTATGCAAGAGTTGTTTGAGGGTTCTAATAGCAAAAAGACCTTTATAAATACCCCAAAAACCATAACCTTTTTCTCCGGTCAGCCTACATCTCTTCTTCCTGCTGTCATAGTTCCGCCGCATACAAAAAAACCCCTAGACTTCTCTCTTCCGCAGTGAGCTCTCTCTCTCTCTCTCCTCCCGTTGATCACTACCCTAACCTACGTCTAAGAGTGGAGCCACCAGAGAAGCTACGACTTAAAAAAATAAAAGGCACTCGGAATTTTTATTGGGGGGAATAAGGCACCAGATCATCTTTGACACAAAGGTACCCTGCATAATATTATCTTAAGCATAAATATGTGATATTATTAAATATAGTGATCATAGTTTGCTTAGGGTAGAGGCTTTTTCATTTTTGGGTCGTCCAATATGCAGATTGGTATAACCAGTAGCATATCATGTTGTCAATTAATTAATAGGGTATAAATGGGGATATTGATGAATGTTTATTTTGTTCTCTTTAGGATTTTCTTGTGGCTCCGAAGTTTCATTATGAGTGGTATTGTAATTGTCTTCAGGTTTAGGTAAGTGGTGAATTTGTACATTATTCGCTGTGTATTTTCATATAAAATTTTATTAACTATATGTAAGTTTGTTCTGATGGAATATATTCTTTTGTATGGTTGCTCGCATACTAATTGTTGATTGGATTAATGCACGTGGTTATTTGGTATAAGCCTATGCTTATTTCTTTGTCAATTGTTATTATTTTCTTTGTCAATTGTTATGACTTTTCATATAGTAGTAGGTTGAGATGCATATTTGGTCGATTGATTTCACTATTGGTTGGCCTTTGGCAATTTTATATAATGTATTTAGTCTTACGGACTTCGTTTAATTTTCTTAAAGCATATGCATCTCAGGTCAATATACCAGTATATATCGGATATAAGCAAGTTATTAAAACATGGCTCAATGTGCCTCTATGAGGTTTCGATTTTAGCGCTAAGAGCCCAAGTTTGGGTCTCATCGTCCCAACGACGGGCTATATAATAGTGGGGTTTGCCAAGTCAACCGAAGTATCAAAGTGTTGACCGTATTGAGACATGACCTACTTATTTGCATTGCATGTATATATTTTGAAAATGTTGCATTATAAGTTTTACTATTTTAGTACTTTGCTTATCAAGTCAATTTATTTTAGTTTTGCAAAACTAGTGTCTAATGTATGAATTTATCCACTTATTGAGTTGTGAACTCATTGTGTTGTTTTCATTCTTTTCTGAGACTTGGGATTAGGTGGAGTTGAAGATTTATTTGTCAAATTCTTAGAACAGAGCAATGAATAAAATTCAGGATTGTTATTATCTTCTAGGTGAAGGTTAAATAAAGTCTTGATGTTTAGTTGATGAATTGAGAGTCTGGTGGTTACGAGGTTTCTTTTCTTTAGGTTGAGTTTTATTTCAACTTGAGGAATATTTGTTCATATCAAGTTAATTGGATTAATGTTGACTTTTGGGATTATAAAGAATATTTGTTGTTGGTTTTAGTTCAATGAAGAGATTATTTTGATGGTCTTTTAATGAATGCATATTTTGGAGGATTCTTCACAGGTTTAGTTCGACTCTAATATTTCATTTTTGGTTCGGAATCGACTGTAGGAAACTGAGCAGGAAAATCCACTTTGGTCGGTCGATCGAAGTAGTGAAACCGGTCGACCGATGTGAAGCCAAGAAGAATTACAGGAGTTTCGGGTTGGTCGACCGACGGGCTTGCCCCGGTCGACCAATAACGTGCACGAGAAGCAGATTGTAGGAAAACGTTCTGGCTGTCGACCGATGTGATGCTATCGGTCGACCGATGTTGGATTTTCAAGTTTCGTGATTCGGGTTGGAAACTGTTTTGGGCTGAGATACTATATTTACCTTGAACGTTTTAGGGTTTATATGACATACGAAAAATAGGCTTTTTAAGGGGAATTTGAGAGAGAAATCTCATAGAGAGAAAATCCTATTTGCGAGCATTGTAATCTTCTTCAATTAATCAAAACTTTCTGGCGTGGCTCTCAAGGACATGGGCAAGTTTGTCGAACCTTGTTAAATCTGATGTTTCCTTCTTTTGTTCTTTATTTCCTGCAAGTTTTTTTATTTGCTGTGATTTCTTGCTTGCTTACTTTTGACACAAGATCCGAAAGGGCACGAGTTGTGTGTTCAACCCTAACAACTGGTATCAGAGCTTCGTTCGGTAAAAGTTTGTATTTTGAAAGAGATGGCAGAAGAAAAAAAAATCAAAGATCGAGAAGTTTGACGGATCAGACTTCGCCTACTAGAAGTCACAGATAGATGACTATCTGTACCAGAAGGATCTTTACCGTCCGTTAATGGGTAAGGGTAAAGAAAGAAGGAGGAATCAGACGAGGATTGGGAAATATTAGTGTAGGCTGTCTAAAAACTCATTACAGATAGCTGATCACATCAAACACCAATGATGGAAGTTATAATCTGACGACTTCTATATCAACAACTCGACAATGAAAATTATAATTAGACAACTTTCATGACAACAAACGAAGGCTACAATCTATAAATTTTTACGTTGATCGATGAGGGTTATAATTCAACGACCGTCACGACAACCGATGAAAGCTCTGATCAACAGCCTTCACAGCGGGAATTACAATTTGACAATTCTCACATTTTAAGGAGCTAGAGCGAAGATTACAAAATGATAATCTTCATAAAGATTTGACAAAAGAGATTACAAGTCAAACGATCTCTTCTAATCCAAATGCAGAGCTCATTGCTATGTTTTCAGCACAAAATGTAGGGTCCATCACTGCGTTCCAGATCCTCACGCAGAGCTCATTGTTGTGTTTTCAACCCAAAACACAGGGTTCATCGTTGTGTTCCAGACTCAAAACGTAGAGTTCGAGGCTGCGTTTTATATTCAAAATATAGAGCTCATTGCTGTGTTTTCAGACTCAAATACAGAGTCCAACTCTGCGTTCCAGGTCCAGGATGCAGAGTTTAATCCAGAACGCGTATTTCGCGTTTGACTGGTTCAAATAAGACCTGAACAGTTTCAAAACTATTTTCCAGTTAATGGGGGATGGTTACACCCGATAAACCCTCATTAAAGAGAGATTTAAGGGGGATGTTACACCTCATAAACCCCCATTAAGGAGCGGATTAAGGGGCGATTACACCCAAAATCCCTATATAAATATCATAAAACTCAACTGAGTTCGGGAAAAATCTTTAGGGAGATCGGCACAATGCTTCTTGGCAGAAGAAGGATCTCGGCAATCTTTAGACCCTCAGAATTGCTCTTGGAGCTTTCATCAACCTTAGCTTACAAACCGATTTTCGGTTAAATCAATCAACTCTTCCATAGAGTTATAACTTGCTTAGAGTTCCTTAACTCATTAAGAGTTTCAAACTTGCCACGCAAGTTCTCCTCAACATCAATCATGAGGAAGATACCGTGTTCCATGAGCTGAAACGTTCGGATCGTCAACGGGATACAAGGATCTAAACTTCCATCGATACCGAGAAGAACCCAGTTTTAAACAAAGGGATGAGTGTCTGTCGATCCCTTCTTTCTTTTGTAAATCAGGAAACCGATCGAGAGGAATTGTAATTTCTTTTTCTAAGTTTGTTAGAGAGAGATTGCATTGAAAGAAATATAATATATTCTTTTTCTAAGTCTGTTAGAGAGAATAATACAAATTCAATTCTCTATTTTTTCTTTTAGTTTTCCCACCAAACAATTGGATCGAAAGGCTTTAGGGAAGATTCGATTGTCGCTCACCAAATCAGTCACCTACAATATATTGAAGGAGAAGATGATGGTGGGGCTTATGGAAGCGCTCGTGAAGATGTACATGCAATCGTCAGTCGCGAACAAGGTGCATCTCGTCAAAATGCTCGTCAACCTCAAGATGGTAGAAGGATATTCCTTCACGTTGATTCTCAGCGAGTTCAACATGATCATTGATCAACTTATCTCCGTCGACATCATATTTGATGATGAAGTGCAAGTCCTATTGATTCTATCGTAGTTACCAGATGGTTGGGCAGGTTGTGTGACCGTAATTAGCAACTTGGCAGGGAAGGAAAAGTTGAAGCTGAGCGAGGTTGTTAGTATGATTCTATCTGAGGACGTTAGAAGGAAGTCGTCTGAATCAGAAGGTTCAGGTTTAGCCCTAAATCTCTAGAAAGGCCAAAGCCAGAAGAAGGGTAACCGAACAAGAATCGGTCGAAGTCGAAAAAGAAAAGGTCGAACTCGAATGTTAGTCCTATTAAATGGAAGTGATGGAATTGCGTCCAGGAGGGCCATATATTTTTAGTCTGCAAAGCACCAAAAAAGAATGTGAATGAGCAGAAGGCTCATATCGTGCAAAATACCTTGATGCTTACTATGGACACTGGCTCTGACTCATGGGTTATTGATTCAGGAGCCTCATTCCACGTCACTGCTAATAGGAAGCTTCTTCAGAACTATGTAGCAGGGGACTTTGAGAAAGTATACTTGGGGGACAATGAGCCTTACAGTATTGTTGGAAGAAGCAATGTGCAGATTCAGATGAAGGGCTCTAAGTGGAATCTGAAGAATGTTAGACATGTACCGAAGCTGAAGAGCAATCTTGTTTCAGTTAGACAGCTTGGAACGAAAGGCTATGTTTCAACATTCACCGATGATTTGTGAAAGATCTCCAACGGTACTATGGTGATTACCCGCGGTAACAAAACATGAACTCTTTACATCACTTTACATGCTAGTGACACCCTCGCAGTTGTAGCTGGAAAGGAGAGTGCAGATCTTTGGCATAATAGGCTGGGACACATGAGTGAGAAGGGTATGAAGATTCTACACTTACAGGAAAAGCTAACCGGCATCGATCCAGTTGAAGTTGGTGTTTGTGAAGATTGCATCTACAGGAAGTAGAAGAGGGTCAGCTTTCAAAAGAGTGGAAGACCACCTAGAGCTCAGAAGCTAGAGCTTGTCCATACAGATGTTTGGGGTCCAACTAGCGTGTCTTCTCTTGGTGGTTCGATGTACTATGTCACCTTTATCGATGATCACTCGAGGAAGGTGTGTGTATAATTCATGAAGCACAAGTCAGAGGTGTTCAAGATCTTCAAGAAGTGGAAAGCCATGGTAAAGAAGGAGACAGATTTGAAAATAAAGTGTCTGAGATCGGACAATGGTGTGGAATACGAGCTGGAGGAGTTCAAGAAGTTCTGTGGCCTGAACGAGATTTATTTGGAGAGGACTACTCCAGGAACACCGTTACAGAATGGCGTTATAGAGAGGATGAACAAGACGTTGACAGAGCGTACGAGGAGCAGGTTTTACATGCAGGTCTACCCAAGATGTTTTGGGCAGATGTGGTGCGTACGACAACTTATCTAATTAATTATGGGTCATTAGTTCCATTGGATTTTGGGATTTCAGAAGAGATTTGGAGTAGCAAGAAGGTTAATCTCTCATATTTATGTGTATTTGGTTACGTGACATATGTTCATATCAGTGACTATGTCAGGGACAAGCTAGAAGCTAAGTCACAGAAGAGAATATTCATTGGATACGACATTGATATAGGCATAAAAAATTGCCTATAGATTGCAACGAAGCTCCAAACTAACGAAAACGCTGATATCTCTCAAACCGGAGGGAATTTGGAAAAACAGATAGTGGAAAACTAAACTTTGGTAGGCTTGGTTGGCCCCGTCTCATTGACATAAGTGATTTTTATTTATAATTCGTCTAATTTTGACTTACGGTTTGAAAGTTATGACACGTTTTTTGCAGCATGTTCTGAAGTCCTCCTGAACTGATTGAACCTCGCCTGAACTATTGGACCAAGCCTATATGTTCCAACACAAAAATTGAGACAAAAAGAAGGTGATGAACGTCATCATCCAAGTTAAAGAAGATTATCTGATGCCAAAAGGAAGCAAAGGAACATGCGTGAAATGACAAAGTGTGTAATACGGCGAAATAAGATAAGTCCGGAGAAGCCCCTGGCAACCGAGCCACCTCAAAGTGGCTCGCACAGTGTCGAGCCACCTCGAGGTGGCTCACGCCCAAAAGTTCCCGAAACACATTTTTGGCAGTTTTCTTAGGATTTTATCATTCTACTACCTCCCTAACTACCTTAGGATCATCCGTGAACATGGTTAAACGGTTATTAACTGAGGATAAGGTCAAATCATTAATTCCTATCTTAAAATGCTGCATCCGGAACCTATAAATAGAAGTCTAGGGCCCCTACACACAGGGGATCAGGAAATTTGAGCAAGGCGGCGAGGTGCTATCAAATTGGAGAGCAGACCCACGAATTTTAGAGAGAGGCTAGTAGATCTTGGCGAACTCCAGCATAAAGAGGGAGCTTTTCAAAAGATCTGAAGCCCATTCCCACCGTCCCTTGAGATCAGAATTCGTTTTGATCTTAAGAAGAGTATAATCTTACTTTGTTAAGATTATTTACTTTTGTTCTTGTTTTCTTTGTGAAACGAGATCAACCGGATCTGATACTCTGTGGTCTATAGATCAACGAGTTCCCGACACATGCAAAGATCTCACGCAAGAGACGACCGATAAATGATCCTGCATGTGTTTCTAGGAGATCCCCCTGTTTGTTTTTATTGTGTAAGAAAGTCTTATAAAAAGACTAACTTTCTTTTTTGAATCTGTAAGACGATAAATGTGTAATGGATTCAGTAAATAAATCAATTTCCGATGCAAACATACTGGCGACCATAGTGGGAGCCAACAGCCTCTCTGCCAAGGCTGTTGTGTCGTAACTGAAGATCAAGATCCGGTTGATTCAGCGGTCGAGTACGAGTTCAACAAAGCCACGTTCAAGGAATATTTCCCCTTGTCTTCATCAAAATACTCCTCTCCCTGCAAGTGCGGAAAGATCTCATCTTTGAAGGAGGTGTATTCACTGATGAAGGCTACAAGTGACTCTGCTTGCCATAACTCCTCTCCAG